AATCCTAAAGAGGAAGAACAGGGAGTTTTAAAACTTACTACAAAGCACTACAAAGCTTCAGTAATCAAAACAGTGGTACTGGTATCAGGATGAATATATACAGCAATGAACTAGTATTAAGAACCCAGAAAAAAGCCCTCACATTTGTAGTCAATTGACTCTTGAAAAGGTGAAAGACAATTCAATGAGGATAGAATACTCTTTCAAAAGAGGTGCCAGGACAAGTGAAAGTCCACTTATAAGAGATTCATAAAGTTGGAGCCTCTTCCTTACATAATGTACAAAAATTAATTATAAGTGGATAACAGACCTAAATACAAGAACTAAAACTATGAAATGCTCAGAAGAAAAGATTATAAATCTTTATGATCTTGGGTTAAGCAAAGCTTTAGATATTACAACAAAATTGCAAGTGAAAAATATACTAGAATCATCAAAATCAAAGGATATCATCAAGAGAATAAGTGGGGGGGAATGGCACATTATATATCAGATTAGAGACTTGTACATAAAGAACTCTTACAAATAATCTGATTTAAAACATGGACAAAGGTTCTGAATAATTTCTCTGAAGAAAATATGCAAGTGGCTAATAAGAAGATGGCATGCCAGTATTTAGGAATAAATCTGATAAAATATGTAAGAATTACACATTGTCAATTTAAAAATATTGCTGACAAATTAAACACAACATAGATTTATCATGTTCTAAGATCTCAATTCAATATTGTTAACATGTTAATTTTTCTCATATCGATGTATAAATTTAATGCAATAATCAAGATAATGTGATTTAGGCATAAAAGAGATATTTACCCAAAAGAACTGAATAGGATTGGGGGTATAGTTCAGTGGGGCCCTGGATTCAATCACCTATAGAAAGGAAGGAAGGGAGGGAGGGAGGGAGGGAGGGAGGGAAAGAAAAAAAAAAGGAAAGAAAGGAAGGAAGGGAGGAAAAAAGAAAGAGAAATGAAGGAAGAAATAAAAGCATATGCCCACTCAACAACTTACAAATGAATGTTCAAAGCAGCTTTATTTATAATAGCCCCAAACTTGAAAAAACCCAAATGTCTGTCAATAGATGAATAGATATACCAGTGACAGTATATCCATACAATGGAATACTATTTGGCAATAAAAAGGAAATGGACCCTCATTACAAACCAGCTAGTGGTGTGGACCTCAGGCAGGCATTTTCTTTGTGTGTGAAAAACATGCCTTACCAATGCCTTCCTAGTGGTTGGGCAGGAACTTGTACGCTAACCTATGTTATTTCCCAGGCAGATGTTGTCCCTGGGGTTCAACCTCTCTAAATATCAGTAGAAGCTCATGGTAGAATCAAAAGAGCTATATAAATTATTCCCCTATTAGTTGTCATAGGAATTACAGCCAGGAAAGGAGCAAGAGTTAGGGAAATAGCATTTTCTGAGGCCCACTATAACCAACTGTCAACACAGTTTATGGATAACATGGGGTGAATTCCAGGAACACTTGAGACCTTATAAGACCAAGGAGATTCCCTTGAAGAGGTAGTCCTACAAAACAGGTTTAAACCTGCTGACCACTGAAAAGGGAGGACTCTGTGCATTCCTGGATGTGAAATGCTATTTTTACATGTAGGAGAAAATGGCGCATTGTAACTTTCTGTACTCTGTAGAAATGTAGCTGCATCAGTTAATTGTTAGTATGAATTATAGGTTACTATGCCAATAAACTGATGTCTGAACTATAACCTTATAGATATGGAGGTTTTATATATATAGCTCTTAGGGATGTAAGCTTACAGTTATCTTGACAAACTGCTGACTATGATGAAGTCCACTTTCTGATATCACTTGCAGGTGTCTCACTGCCTTTGTTCTGCATCTGTGAGCTGCTTATCATAAGAATTCCTGTGCATGGTCTGTGATCATGTGGGTCAAGAATTCAAACCCACCAATGTTGTAAATTTCCTATAAAGACCCATGTAATCTCAACTCAAGGCCCAGAATTTCAGAGTGATAGCTTTTCTGGGTCTGCCAGCGTCATAAACCTGAGTTCTCAAAAAAAAAAAAGGAAACGGACCATGAATACTTGCAATAACATGGATGAATCTCAAAATAATTTGGCTAATAAAAGAGGCCAAATTCCCCACCTCTGCAAAAAATAAAACACTACATGAGTTCATTCTGTGTAACTCCATTACATAAATTCTAAAAAATGAATTATAACAACAGCAAGAAAGATCAATGGTTGCCTCAGGACAGGGAATAAAGAGGCGAGAGGCACAGGCAGGAGGAATTACACAGAAATATGAGGGACCTTTTGGAGACAGCGCTTATATTCATTACATCTGCTGTGGTTATGGTTCTATGAAATATGAACATATGTGAAAACATCCTATTATATGCTTTTTATCATATGGAAATTATACCTCAATAAAGATGTTAAATAAGACTCATAAATGACATTGCAGATCAGAGGTTTTGTCAGATGGGTGGAGCAAAGAACAATGATGAGGTAACAGCATTTAGGACATTTGTATGAAAGTTGCTAAAATGATGAACCATGAAATCTAATATGACCAGAGTGGGAAACGAGAAGAGAACTGACTGAGCAAAAATATTAAAGGATAACTAATGAAGTGAAAAATGGGAAGGAATTTAACTGAGTAAGGAAACTTGAGAATAGGAAATTTAGCTCTAGAATGAAATGAATTCAAATTTCAGAGGCAAATCCTAGATGACAAGAACCATGATATCAGGAGTAGATCATAAAGTAGAGCTGATATAAAGGTCATAGTTGATGACAAAGAACCTAGGGTTCTGAACCATCATTTGTATGTTAAAGTCACTTAGGATGATGGCAGGACTTGAAATGAACATATAACCATTTGCTAAGATATCAAAGTCCTCAGGGAATGAAGAGGACTTCATATCTTAAATTTTGTATTTGCTTTCAAAAAAAACAAAAACAAAAACAAAAACAAAAAACCCCTGGTTTGTCTGGAGCATTTCATTCTGTGCTCCAGACAAACCAACCTCTAAAAATGCATCAAACTGTGAACAACTCCATCACTTACTTCATTAATTTCTTATTTTCTAGACTTACTTATTAACTATATTCTAAAGTTTACTCAGAAGTGTGAATTCATATGGAACAAACATTTGAGGCAACATTACTACTAGCCAGTTTCCCAAATCAACAACACACTTTGTTTTGAGCCACAATGATTAATCTATTAGAATTCTAATATTCCTCAAACAAATCTTAAATCATTTATTGACTCTATGAAGAAAGAAAATAGTTCTAAATTCTTTTGAAAATGGTCTTACCACCAAGAAACATCCAATTCATTAAATTAGAAACTCTCAATTTTAGGAAAGACTATTTTAATCCCAATATTCACTGACCTATTATCATTCATATTTTCTGCATATGCTGCAAAACTAAAATCCCTTCTTACCCATTAACTAAAAGCACTCTATTTCAACTTTTGAATCATACATGCTTAACATAATTTCCATTTTTACAACAAATCTTCACCAAAACAAAAATCCACTTTCTTTTTTTCAGTGATAGGGATCAAACCCACAACCTTATATATGTTAAGTAAGGGCTCTACAACTGAGCACTCTCCAAAAATCCACTTTTATTTATAGAATCCACGCTCCTAAAAATTGGTATTTATAAAAATTTTCTCTAATGAATTCATAAAGTGGATATTTTACTTGTTTTGTTAATTACATATTAACAAGGTAAGAACATTTCATATGTATTTTTTAAATTATCTCATTTTTGTAGTGATAAGCCTCTTCCTTTACAAAAAATAAGTAATCATTATTTCTGATTTGTTAAAATTCCTAAGAAATTCATAAGAAAGAAAAGGGGGGCTGGGACTGGGGCTCAGCGGTAGAGCACTTGCCTTGCATATGTGAGGCACTGGGTTCAATCCTCAGCACCATATAAAAATAAATAAATAAAATAAAGGTATTGTGTTCATTCATAAACTAAACAAAACATTTTTAGAAAGAAAGGAAGGAAGGAAGGACGGAAGGAAGGAAGGAAGGAAGGAAGGAAGGAAGGAAGGAAGGAAGGAAGGAAGGAAAGGGTATCTTGGCTTGTTTTCCCTTTTCACAGGTACTGGAAGTATATTCTTCTCAATGCTACTTGGTGGTTATACTGACCACTTGACTGGACAACTCAAATTCTACTACATCCTTTCTTTAGTGGCAAATGAACACTTTCAACTTCACTTAATATATCCATTTTAGATCTCACTACTACTTCAAATATAATATATCCAAAACCAAACTCATAATCATTCTCAATATTTCCCCACCAAACACAGATCTTCTTACAGCTCTTTTTTCTGCTATAATGGTTAAGTTACCAAATCAACCAGGTTTCAAAATCCTTTTTTTCTGGGGCCCTCTCTTGTAACACATCCTTTCAATTCTATGCTTTTCTATTTCTACTGCTGCAATCCCTCATTACTTCATTGCTGGAACTACTGATAAAAATTCCTGATTTTCCTTCTTCTGGTCTCTTCACTTTCAATTACATACAGACTTGCCAGATTAATATTCCTAAAAACAAATCCTTAATGACTCTACTTCCCTACTAGAAAGACCCCTTTGCCTAGCAAATATATTAAAATTTTCAAACCAGAAAATCAATGTCCTTTTACATCAACTACGCTTCAGTCAAACTGAACTCCTGTGGAATTTTATTTATCTCTCTATGAAGGTAAATATCTACTAGCTACTACAGCTAATTTAATGTAGTTCTTACTCCCCCCTCATCATCTGCTGGCTATTTAAGGGCAGGAACCATATCTTAATATCTCCCCACAAAAAAATAACACAGCAAGTAAGTAGTGTTTATGAAGGAAGGAAACTAAGACTTAAAAAACAAACAAACCCCAAAAAAGCTCATTAAATTTAGGCTACGATAGTGTTTCAATTCTCGTTTCTACAGTCTTTCCAGAATTGGTACATACAATAAAATCTATTAATTACCTGTTATTACATTTATATCTGGGTACTGGTTTTCACATAGAACAACAGCTTTGCTATCCCTCTCAAAAGCCTCTCGAAGTTCTTTCTTGACTGCTGCTGAACCACATAATCGATACAGGCCTACTACCTAGAAATAAAATTATGGCCACATTATGTTGTATTTAATAAAGAAACAATATAATAGTACAATATAAATCACACAAACTTAGCAATCACATTTGTTCTGATCGCATGTAATTATAATACCTCCAAGACAGCTATTGAAGTCTCAACATGGACAATGTTGTTTAGTTTTAAAAAATCCTATTTTTTCATTTCAAACAATATAGTATGATTTCTGCATTCTCAGTAATCTTAAGAAAGAGGTGCAATCTCTTCTCTTCATACTGTCCAACCAGTATCTCCATACCAAGCACGTACCATTTCACATCTTTTGCCCTAGACTGATATAATGCAATACCACAATTAAACAATGGTTTTAGAGTTGTAAAGCTCCCCTGTCACTCTTTACTGGTAAACTTGGGCAGGTTATTTAATCTCTTTAAGACTCAGTTTCCTTATTCATAAAATAATTATATAGTTCAAACGAGAAGCCAGTATGCTATTTGTATAAAGTTTTCTAAGGAAAAAAAACAAAAAGATTTTCAGGAAGAAATAAAAGCCAAATTAGGGGGAATTTTACTTATGAAATTGATTATAACGTAACAGAAGAAATTTAATCAATACAGTAAAGATAAAATAAAACCTCTAGTTTAAAATTTATGTAAGTTGCATAAGTACTATTCAATCCAATAACCTACAATGAAAGATTTGTTTTTAAAAAACAGTTCATACAGATTCTGAAATACTAAGTCTTAAGAAGTTCACTATAAATTCACGGAGAAGAAACCAGAATGGTTGCTATAAGGAAAAAACCAGCCTAACTGCTATAAGAGTTCTTTGAAAGAATAAACTTCAAGAATATTAAGGAAAATAAGTGGTTGTCACCTATACTTCCACGTCAAAGACTATTTAGAAATCTCAGTCATCTTGGATTGAAGGAAGAGTTATAGAGAAAGAAATTATTTTAAGACAGAAATAAAGCAAAGCCTCAAGAATTTGAACTAGGAATCACTATAAAATGTTATAAATGATCTACAAGAAGGTATACTCAAATTAAATTTCTGGGTTTACTTGTGACTTAACCTCTTAAGTCATGGAAAAACTGATACCACTAATAAAAGCAAGACAAAAGAAAAAAAAAAAAAACCCTGACAGACTATAACAGAGAAGATGGGTTTTAATGTGGGAAAGTATCAATAATGGATGCAGGGAAATGTTGTCCAAAATGTTTGAAATGATAAGCTCTAAGTATTAACTGAAAGACAGTAAAAAAAACTAAAACTATTTGTACAAGACAGTAATGCAAAGTGTTGTTACATTCAAAAGGATCAACATATGGGAAACTAAGAAACATGGACTAGGAAAAATATTGAAGTTTCTCCTCTTAACCATATTCCTGATGCATTTATGTTGAGAATAGCATTTGTTAGGCTAGTTGCATCATCTCAAGAAAGACAAGGTAAAAATGTAGATAGGCTATTAAATAGGCTCAAAGAAAATCCTTCCACAATAGAAGAAACTAACTTGATTATAGCCCTTGTGGTATAGGCACATTTAAGTGTCATAAAATCCTATAATAAGGATGTGCCTCCTTGAACTTGAGAAGGAAATGAACCTAGAGCAAATTTAAGGAAGTACTACTTAAACAGTAGACAACAAATTAACATAACATTTTACCTCCCAAAACTGAACTACAACATAGCCTTTAAATGGATGAATAAAAAAATTAAGATCGAATATAGGTATTTCAAGGATAGGGCATTTTAGGATATATTCCTAAATTAAGAATGCTGACTTCTTGAATCAAATTCATGAAGTATACATGCTCAATTTCTCTATCAGAGCCAGAATCTATACTGGATGAGCCATAAGTATCAGTAATTTTTCCCACTGGAATCAGAAGACAGAATATAGCTGCATTCAAAGTATTTAGATGATGTAAAAGCCCACGCCGCAAACTATTTTTATATGAATATAAAAACTTTATTTTCACAGTGAAAAAACAAGAATAATAACTGACAAAAAGGTAAATAAACTTTAAGAAACATGGTAGCCTGTAAAATGTAGAACAAGCCTACTTGTATGTGCGCATGCACGCAAGCGAGCATGCACACATAGGTGGAAAAGCAGCAAGGAAGAGAAATCAAAAAATGTTTTTAAAAAATACAGTTTCAAGGGGCTGGGACTGTAGCTCAATGGTAGAGCACTTGCCTCGCACATGTGAGGCCCTGGATTCGATCCTCAGCACCACATAATAATAAATAAATAAAGATATTGTGTTCATCTACAATTAAAAAAAAATTTTTAAAGTATGGTTTCAAATGCCCAACTGTAAAACATTTTAGTTTGCAGAAAATCTTTAAAATAAACCTTTTTAGAATCTTTCAGTAAAGAAATAAAAAGCATTGCTAGAAATGTTTTCTTAGTGCTCAAAAAAGTAATTAACAGTCTTTACATACCTGCTCTTTATATCTCAAAAAATAAACTGTAAAATACAATCCACTTGAGTTACTTATTATAATATTCAATTGTAAAATTTTCTGCTTAATCTAGCTTTAAAGTCTGCCCCATCTCTGAACTTTCTGCATACTAACAGGGTGGGGGGGGGAATGGAGGAAAAAAAGAGAAGCTTAAGAAAGAAAAGTAATTAAGAGAAAAAAAACTGGACTGTAAAGTCAAGTCCTCACTCTCACATCAACAACACATACTAGAGACAGAATTATGTATAAAATTTAGATGACCTCCCTCTTATCATTAGAAATGACTGGATCCATTTTTATAAATATAAGCAAATAAGAACCATAAGGATTAAGTGATTTGCCCAACATCACACAGTTAAGTAATAACAGTAGAGAAACCGGAATCCAGGTCCTCTGGATCTTAAGACAATACTCCACAAATGTATAGTTTCCACATTAAGTTCAAGGTGAGATGTTTTAAATGAAGACATAATATTTCAGATTTCATGATATTTACCCTTATTGTCTTTTGAGTCAATGTAAATTTGGGTGACTAAAGCAGAATTATCTCAGAACATTATGATTCTTATTATATCACAAGAATTTATGTGTCAAAAATTAATATAAATACTTTTTATATCTCAATAATATCCTCAGTCATATACTGTTTTTCATTGTCATACTCCATACCTATAAATGAACATAAAGAAAGACAAGGTATATTAACTGGCTAAGATTGTTACATACCTTGTTGCAAATAATGCCAGGGTTTTGTTTCTTTCTTTTAATAGGTTGCCTTTCCTTTATTATTTAAAAGGAAATGAGAGGTGTTCTTATAAGTAAGAACTCTCCTCATCCTACATGCTATATGACTTTCTAAGAACGGGACTATTAAGAGTAGGGAAAAAGTGGATAGAGTTAATGTGAGGAGTGACCAAGTTTATAGGATTCAGTATTAGAACTTTCTGTCATAAACTGTCAAACCATGTTATCAGCTTTAGCTTTTCCTAGCATTGCACTTACAAAGCAATCTTGATGCCTAGTTATAAAACCCATGTAGTTCCGTAACACAACATAAGCTCTGATCTAGTAAGCTCTGAAATCACTGATAACATAGGTTAAGGTAATGAATTATACTCTAAACAGTGATGTAATAAAACAAACAACAGAAATAGGAAAATGTCTAAACTATTTTTTTACCTTACCTAAATTCCTTCCCCCAAGACTCAAAATTAGACAATCAATTCATCAATCAATAAAGGATAGTAGAAAAATGCAGTGAAATATACCTGACAGCCTCTCTTTTCAATTTCCATAATACATTTCTGTATCAGGAGTGGCACCATCAATCCTACATTTTCTTTTTCTACAACTTTTTGAATGTCAACACCAAATATTACCGATTCTCGATTTTTATCTAGTCCATGAAGAGAATTTTCCCACTGTTCCATAAGAGTCATTTTCACATAGATAAGACCTCTAGGTTCAAGTTTGACAGCCAATTGATGTGTCTTTGTCACTCTGAATAAGGTGGGAAGAACAACAGTTCCATGACAGCACACTCTATTCTTTCTTGGAGTGGGTTCCCAACTAAATACTACTAGTTTTAAATGTTGTGCATTTTCAATTTCTATATTGAAAGTGTGATCCATGTCTAAAAATGTGGTTCGACATGTGAGCAAAGCTGTTCTTGCTTTGTTTACTGAATCTACCTGAATTGCACAAAAGACATCTTTTGAATCTATCCGTGGTGGTTTTAAATCCTCAGCACCATAGAAATGCACACTCATGAGCCCAGATATGTACTGTGAACACTTGGGTTGATCAGAAAAGTTATAATGTCTAAAAGCATCTATGTCTATTTCATTTTTACTACAACTGTTTGGAATTATTTCTTTTCCTTTTCCAAATTTGCTTTCAGATCCATGTTTGCTAGATTTAGTTATAAGTTCAGGTGAGTCTCCATCACTGAGGTAACCACCTTTGCAGGAATACTTCAAACTCATGGAGGTTTTCTTCTGGTAGCTGTGCTGAGAAGATACAGTGGTATCAAGATGGTACCGGCTTATGACATTCCTCTTGGCAGCTGTGGTAGTGTTTCCAGAAGGTAAAATAACAGTATGATTAATTTCTCGACAGTTATATTTAGACAAGGAAGGAGAATTATCTGGACTGTTTACATAATTCAGGGTTCCCTTAACACCTAGCTTTCGGCTAAATTCTGGCAATCTTTTCATTTTCATGGAAAGTTTCCTCACAGTTCGTGGAGATTTTATTTTATCTGGTAAAGACCAATTAATTGAACTGCCTTTTTTCACAGGGCTAGGGCTTGGAGAGGATGGTTCCATAACTCCCAATTCAGTCCTACTTGTAGCAGCTAAGATTCCAGGACCTTTAAAAAAGAAAGAAAGAAAAATATTATAAAAAGATATGTTTTGATTTTTCTTACTCCTATTTTATAAACCACCAACTAAACAAGGTCTCACACGGATAGGAATACTTCCCTTGTTTCATCTCAATGGGGAGATTAGTTTGAAGTTCAGGTCAGTCTTCATCTTCATGTTCAAAGCAGAATATCAAGATCTCCAGATGGTATACAGTACAAAGAAGCATCTCCCTCTCCATCTGCTATTCTGAAGACTTGGAGGAAGGGTAATGCAGATTCCTTTTTAACATTTCCCACTACAATATACTCCAGTGAGCATATTATATATTAGAAACTAGGAAAGCTTCTTATTTTAAAATGTTAGAAATGCTATACTAATAAGAATGTTTCTTCTATATTTATAATCTTATAAAGCTAAATGTTACCACTTAGCAGAGCTAGTTTTTTAAAAAGCTAAAAACAAAATAAATCTGTAATTTTGATAGCTGAGATGCTCCTTGTTCTAAAATTCTATTAGAATGTGTCACCAAAGTTTATGTAGAGCTATCTAGTCAATCAAGAATAACAGAATATTGAATATCATAAATGTAACTGAATAATTTTAAAAACTGTTAAGAAATCTTCCTTATTGTGTTATTTGTATACAATAATTCCACAACTTCAAATGTTAGTTATGGTCTTTAACTGCAACAGAGATATAAGTTTTCTTGCAATTTTTAGTTTTCATAGACAGTACAAATAAAGTAAATATCAGCCTAAACTACATATTTACAGATTAGCCACTACAAATATTTTGGTGGAAATAATACTAAAAGTAGTTTAATATTAATAAATTATTAATATTTCATTATGATTAAGCAATGCCAACTGACATTTATTGAGCTACTTAATATGTGTAGTCACTTATTTAATTTTCATAGTAACCCTGTGAGTTAAAACCATTAGCACCACATTCTCCAGATAAGTACTCTCAGGCACAGAGCTGAGTAATTTAAGATCACAAAGTTGGCAGGTGGTAGAACCAGGATCCAAGCCAAAACATTGGTTTTCAGAGTCTATGCTTTTAAATATTATACTTTCAGCTCCTCCATCTTTCTACACACTTTTTTGTCCAGCCATACATATTAAACAGATTTTAAAGACTTTTTCTCGACTATTATTAAAATTTTCCATAACTTCCTCAGCTTAAAAAATGGTCAAAAAATACATTTAATTTTTAAATTTGTACTTGTTCATAGTAAATTTTCAAACTAATAATACAGATTAAAAATATCTTCTAGAGCTGAGGTTGTGGCTCAGTGGTAGAGTGCTTTCCTTGGCATGAGTGAGGTACTGGGTTCAATTTTCAACACCACATATAAATAAAGAAAGAAAATAAAGTTTTTTCAAATCTTCTAAAACCTGATATATAAATTCTAACTTTTCCTGTAAAGAAGCAATCTAATCCCAATTATATAATTTTTTTCAATTTTTTTCATATAACCATTCTTATAGAGGAAGATCTAATAACTTCAAAATCAGAAGTTATTCTATAAAAAAAGATCAACAAATTAAATGACCTTTCTTTAAAGTATTAATATAACATTCTCCCTCCACTCACTCTGTGCGTCCACACAGAGAATTAGTTTCTTTATAGACAGAGTACTATTTTAAGTATGCCTCCTGGGCCTTTCTGATAAACAGCTATTAAGAAATAAAGTGTGTGATAAACTGGACAAAGCATCCTCTATGTTGCAAATCACAGCACAATTCTACTGGCTTACTTGTTTAAAACATTCTACAGAAATCAGGGTCCTGCTTTACAAACATTAATCTATTTTTGTCACAGCCTAGGAAAACCAACCAGTATATTAAACTGTTGTAGATTTTATTAAATTGCTAAGGAATTTAACATACTGACTCCTTTTACATATTGTAAATAAATAATTCCAACTGAAGTCTTTAATTGTTAAAATGAAATACTGTACATGTTAGCAACTTCTATTATAGACAAGAGTGTATTTATTAAAACAAAGACTTTTTGTTTTAATAAAATCCAACAGCTGAAATATTACCAAATTCCACAATCCTTTAAAATTAAACTAGAACTACACTAATCAAATCACAGAATAGCTATATACAGCAAGCACACACACACACACACAAAAAAAAAAAAAAATCCTTAAACAGAAATTTATGTACCAGGCTTGAGTCAAGAGAAAATGATAGACTCCTTCAACACCAGGAACAGTAACTGGCACAAAGCATGAACTCAACATTTGTTGAATAAATGAAGGCATCAATCAACCAATTATTATTTGACCTGTAAATTTGTAAACCTTTTTGAAACTACAATACAGAAATTAACAATAGCAAATACCAGCATAAACACCCAATAATGATACTAGTAAATAAATCCAAAAGAAGCAAAAATGATCATGATGAAAGGTTACTGCAATAGCTGTGGGCACAATCTATTAACACCAAATACCAGAAAAACAGTCAAATGAATTAGGGCCCATCAACTCAATTAAACTCAGTAAAACTTGAGAAACAATAATATTAATCTACATATAACAATGCAAGATGAAGATATAAAGAAAAAAACACAAAATCAATCAATCCATCTATACCAATCTGATTGCAATATTTACCTGGAAGTTAATAAGCATAAAACAAGTCACAGTTATGTTAGGATGATTTTTTAAATTGCTGTTCATATTTAAAGTATTTACAAATTAGCTGCCAACTTCTCAACATCATTCTGCCAATATTGCTAAGGAAAGCAGATCACATTAGGTAACCTTGCTACCAAACTAAAAAAAAAAAAAAGAAAGAAAAAGACATATACTAAACTGTATTCTTTTGATCACTTTAGGATTGTGCTTATTAGATATGAATTACATGTTTAAAAGAATGATGGTAAGAAAGGAGACATAAATAGTAGTCATTCCATACTTTTAAAAAAATTTATATGTCTATTAGTCTAAGATCATAATATGCCACAAACATTTTAAAAAATTAGTTTTAGTGTAAGAAATAAAATCAAGAATTGATAAACGTGATTGACTCAAACTAAAAAGCTTCTTCTCAAAAGAAACAATGAGGTGAAGGGAGAGCCTACATTTTGGGAGCAAATTTTCGTCACATGCATGTCAGATAGAGCACTAATCTCCAAGATATAATAAAGATCTCAAAAAAACTTAACAGCAAAAAAAAAAACAAATAACCAAATCAATAAATGGGCTAAGGAGCTAAACAGACACTTCTCAGAAAAAGGTATACAATCAGTCAACAAATATATGAAAAAAGTGTTCAAAATCTCTAATAATTAGAGAAATGCAAATCAAAACTACTCTAAGATTTCATCTCATGCCAGTCAGAATGGCAGTTATCAAGAATACAAATAACAGCAAGTGTTGGTGAGGATGTGGGGGGAAAGGCACACTCATACACTGCTGGTGGGACTGCAAATTGGTGCAACCAATCTAGAAAGCAGTATGGAGATTTCTTAGAAAACTTGGAATGGAACCACCATTTGACCCAGCTATCCCACTCCTTAGTCTATATCCAAAGGACTTAAAATCAACATACTATAATAACACAGCCACATCAATGTTTATAGCAGCTCAATTCACAGTAGCTAAACTGAGGAACCAACTTAGATGCCCTTCAATAGATGAATGGATAAAGAAACTTTAGTACACATACACAATGGAATACTATTCAGCACTAAAAGAGAATAAAATTATGGCATTTGCAGGTATATAAATGGAGTTGGAGAATACCATGCTAAGCGAAGTAAGCCAATCAGTTTACTTTGCTTTAAACTTTTTTTTCCCAAAAAGCCAAAGGCCAAATGTTCTCTCTGATAAGTGGATGCTGATCCACAAGGGAGCAGGGGATGGGAAAAATGGAGGAATTTTGATTGGACAAAGAGGAGGGAGAGGAGGGGAGGCATGGGGGAAGGAAATATGGTAGAATGAGATGGACATCATTACCCTAGGCACATGTATAACTGCCCGTATGGTATGTCACTACATTGTGTACAATCAGAGAAATGAAAAGTTGTGCTGCAATTGCGTACAATGAATCAAAATGCATTCTGCTGTCATATATACCTGATTAGAATTAATTAATTAATTGATTTTTTTAAAGGATGGCATGTAGAAGGTGGGCTGGATGTAGTTAAAAGCATAGACAAAGCATTCATAGTAATAAGAAAGAAAATATATCATAAAGTTACAAATTTCAGTGAGGGCAGTCAATGTTATGGTGAGAGAAGTGGGAGTTTTCTATTTATTTGCATTTTTCTCAATGAAATATAAAGTAAGATCTTAAACTGAGAATAAGAATTGGAAAGAAGGTAATAGGAGGGGAATGCTGAAATAAAAATTAGTTTCAGGGGAATTATATTAAAGTGTATGTCACTTTATAGATGCTACCTTTCTAACTTAGCTCTTGTCCTTATTATCTTCTTGCCTTCTCAATAACATTCCACATCCATCCCTATCTGTGATACTATAGCCTTCCCTCACACTCTACCCTGATCATAATCTGTATTCCAAATTACTATTTTATTTAGTATTTACTTCTCTTTCCATCATATTACAAAAGACACATATTTACTATAGAATTGAGTCTACAATTAGAAATGCACAGAGAAGAATGTTTTTGATTACCTTCAATCACAATACCCAGAAACAAAAACTAACCACAACGAAAACCCCCATTAACATTTTCAGTATGGCTTTCAATGTTTCTTTCAAAATTGCCAACATATAGTACACAGTTTCATAATTCACTTTTTCTCTTAATATAACATTTACTGGGCCTCCCCAAGTTGCTGAGAAAAGGATTCAAATTCAAATATTTAATTTGCAAAGTTCAGAAATCCCATCAAAGAAGTGAGAAAATTCAGGGGGATATTCAAGATGAACATCAAGCCTGCTATCCCTATGAGCAACTGGAGCTTAATCTCAAGAGAAAACTCTAGGAAGATTAATCTGCTCATAATTACCCACCCAAGAGAAAAGAGAGCTGGGGTAGTCCTATACCAACTTGTCAGTAACTGGTTGAGGAATACTCCAAGGCTGCCCTGCAGAGAGCTTCCTTGACTTCAAAGAAAGTCCTTAGGCAGAGATGCAAATACTGTGCAAGGTAGAAAAAGGCTTCCTTCATTCAAGTAGTAAATAATAAAACCCAATACATATGCACCGACAGCATCTACTACACCACACATCTTCAAATACTATGCATCATTTGAAATTCTATAAATTAAAATGACTTGATATAAAACATAAATAATTTCTATCCAGCACTTGATATTTGCAACCAAAGGTGACTCACACTGTTTCCTGGGGAGTATGTCTAGAATTAACAGAAGCATATCATAAAACTGAAGGCAAACAAGGAAGAGCAAAACCATTAAGTTCAACTATATAAAATGCTTTTTTTTAATAGATCAAAAACTGTTGAATATCAGCAATTTCTTATGGTTCAACCTAATATATATTAAACTTCAATTATTTCCTTTTGGGGTTGTATAACTATTGTAGCACCTTTTTAATCTCTTTTTTTTTTCCTTCCTTTCCTTTGCTCATGAGAAATCTTAGGCATAAGAACACAAACTAATGACTACTGGTATACTGAAAAGACAACTTTTCAGCTTTGGCCAGGCCATGTATGGGTAAATGAATGAATGAAGCAAAAAATTAGACTTACATAAAGAATATATCTTTTTCTTCTATTCCCCATGACTTCACTCTTTTCAATGAAGAGAAAAGCAATCATAAGTCTCAAAGGATAAATATACTAAATCATATCACATACCACATTACAAAACCAAGTCTGTGATAAAAATAATTAAAACACCATGTATATAAAATATTTATAAACCTGTTTTTATTTTTTAAAATATATTCACTTTATACAGAAAGTACATGAATATAATATGCATCTTCTATATTTAGCAACTGTGAAAGAATTGAAAAAGAAGAAAGAAAAGGCAGATCTATGATCATCTTTACCTGCAAAAGGAGATTTCAATATCGGACTATCCTCCACCATTAAACCTTCTTGTATCTTGTGTCCTAGCCTTTGCGTGTACTGCTGCATACATTCTGTGGAATGGATGGAATCTATAGGATTCACTTCATTTGACTGAGTGGTCTGAGTATCACCTTTGTGTTCAGAAGAGCACAACGGATCTTCAGTAGGCTGCTCTGCTTTTGTAGGGTCACTCCTAGACAATATGCTCAAACTGACAGCAGGAAACTTCAGAAGAGCAGGGTTTGGCTCATGGAAACTCAAGGCACTTGATACCCCAAGGTCATCATCCTCAGGAATGGGATTGTACCATATTTCTCCTTCATCATCTGCATCATTTTCCTCATTAAAATCTGAAGAGCAGTTTCTTGATAATGATGAGTTTGTAGCATTACACACCATATATGTACAGTATTCTTCAGATGATTTGAGGAAAGGATGTGATAGCTGATGTTTAGGAAGAGATACAGGTGAGATAGATAAATGACTCCTATCTTGGCATTTCCTATTTTCTTCTTCCAGATTCAGAGATCTCAGAGGACTTTGATATAACCAATTTCGTTTTTTTGAAACAGTGATACTGTTAAGTGGCTTATGACCTCTGAATTCAATATTATCCTTCAGATCTTCAGATTCTCTTCTCTTCATTGAAGACCCATAGACATTTTCAAATAAATCTGTTTCAAAGAAGAAAAAAAGATAGAATATAATGCCTAATATACCAGGAAATATGTCACTTCAAATCAGTAGTTAAATTTTTTTTAAAGTAGAAAAGTAATATTAATCACACAAAAAATAAAATCAAACCAGAAAAATTTTGGATTTTCCACTTAAACATGGTTGCCATTATCTAGAAATCAGACTGCTAGTATAGGTGTCATAAAATTCTAGGAAACAGAATATGCAAATTCTGATACTGCTTTTATTAAAAAACTACAGGATTAACAAAGCCTTACCCTAAGCAAAACAAATTTTATAAAAAGCTTATATAGAATGCTTTGTACACAGTATGACTAATCAATATTTGAATAATTTCCAACTCACTATTACTAGACCAAAGTCATTAGAAAGAATAAGTAATATTCCTAACTTTTCACACAAAGATTTACTTTCACTAACCTAACAAAAAAGTATACCTTACCTATTAAAATTTCAACATAACATTGGTTCCCTAACCATACAGCTCAGTAGTATCTTATGCAAAGTTTGAGTTCTATATAGCTGGAGCAAAAATTGAAATTAAGATCTCTTAAAGAGGCTGATTAGAACCAACCATGCTGTCTCACAGTAAGCACAACAGCTATTATTATTACTGGCCAGACGCAAATTTAGGCAGCAGATAAATAATGAACAAAATAATCCCTGCCCATAAGAAATTTATAGTCTACTCAAATACTCAAGATGATATACAGGTTAATACAATGTGATAATACCCTAAAAATATACATAACACTACTTTCATCTAAAAAGGAAAATTTTGTGCCTCCAAAGAGGTGTGTGAAGCAACTTCACTGACCCTTTACTGATAGTGAATAATCTAAATATAATAATAATAATAATAATTCACTACACATATGTAATGAAAACCACATTTGTATAAATCTAAGACCATGTTAGGTTTTTAAATTATGGAATTATGGCCTTATGCTATTCTGGTTGTGTACATGGTTGATTCATCTTACTGTTACCACAAATAAAAAATGATGTGGGGGGGCCAGGGTTGTGGCTCAATGGTAGAGCACTTGCTATCATGCAGGAGGCACTGGGTTCCATCCCTGGCACCACATGAAAATAAAAACAAATAAAATAAAGGTATTGTGTCCATTTACAACTAAAAAAAATTTTTTTTAAAAGATGTAATAACAGTGATAAGCACATTAAGCTATGAGAATCTTAATAACAAAATTAGTTTCACACATAACAAGATGTTAAGTAACCTTTCAACTGAAAGAAAAATCTTTAATAATGCAAAAAAAGCCCTTGTCTTTTTTAAAATCCTAAACATCTACCTAACCAATCAGATTAATTAAAACATAACAATCTTAAACACTAATTGTGTTTCAAGTTCAATTAGTTACAGAAGGGAAAGAAGCTCCATGAACTCCTACTATGTCTGCAATTTACTCACTCATCAAGTAAGTAACTATTATGTTCTAGAAATAAAGCAATAAGGAAGCCCCTAACCTCATTTTACCTCTACAACAATCTAATAAGTATAATTATTATATCATTGAAAAATATGAGGAATATGGTCAAGTCCCTAGTATTCAAAATTAAACCTAACCCTAAAACCCACATGTTTACCCCTTTCTCTATACCATGCTACCCATTAAGAACAGGGAAGCAGGTCTCTCTCAACATGAGATAGCATCACATTTACAATACAAAATGGCTGCTGATAGAGACAGGAGGATTGCAAGTTCAAAGCCAGCCTCAGAAATTTATTGAGGTGCTAAGCAACTTGGTGAGACCCTATCTCAAAATAAAATATAAAAAGGGCTGGGGATGTGGCTTAGTGGTTAAGTGCCCCTAGGTTCAATCCCCAGTAACAACAACAACAACAAAAATGGCTGCTGATAAATATTTGGAAATCTATAAAATAATAGGGGGGGGGGGGGAAACAGTCAAAACCACCAAGTTGGTAAAAGGAAGGGGCAGTACTGAAACTCTGACTTTAAACTTCATAGAAGTATACCTGGGCTGCTACCACTAAGGGATACCCATCTCCATCCCCCAGGATTGAATAAGCAAACATAACAAACACTCAACGAACATCATGAACTGATTATTTAATTTAATTAATGAAAAGGTGAAGATTTTTCTAGAGTCTTTCTTTGGTTCTATTTCCTTTACACTTTATACTTAACAACTAAAAATCAAACACATGCTCAGGAATCACTTAAGCTTCTGGATTCTCAGTTATTACATGCTTTTGCCAAGTGTACTGAAATCTAGATCAATTTTACATTTAAGCCTAAATCTCAAGCTATTATTCAATAGCTTTCAGACCTATACAGGACGTTATTTATAAGTAAATGTATATATATATAGTTTTGACATTAATTATAAATTTGAAGCAAAAGCTATAAAATTATATAACTCACTGACTAAAAATAAGCAACAGTTTATTTTATCTTATTCTCAGACAGCTCTTCAGCCCTGAAAATTTTATAGAACAAGATACATTACTTTGAGTCACAGCAGAGTTTTTTGATGTATTATACACTGTGAATGATCCTTAAACATGTCTACTTGTACTACACTTCAAAGAACTGCAATAAGGAAATAAAGCTACTAGCCTCCCATATTCAAGCAAGGTGATACTTCTATTGATACAAGTATTTAACTGGAGTATAATACTAAAAGTAATAATTATAAGCCAGACATGGTGGTATATGACAGTGACTCAGGAGGCTGAGACAGTATGATTGCAAGTTCAAAGTCAGCCTCAGAAACTTAATGAGATCCTGGCTCACAATAAAAAATATAGAGATGGTGCTAGGGTTGGGGATGTGGCTCAAGCGGTAGCGCGCTTGCCTGGCATGCGTGCGGCCCGGGTTCGATCCTCAGCACCACATACAAACAAAGATGTTGTGTCCACCGAAAACTAAAAAAATAAATAAATAAATATAAAATTCTCTCTCTCTCTCTCCCTTTCTCTCTCTCTCAAAAAAAAAAAAAAAAAAAAAAAGAACTAATACCAATACTTTTCAAGCTACTTCAGGAAATAGAAAAGGAGGGAGAACTTCCAAATTCATTCCATGAGGCCAACATCACCCTGATACCTAAACCAGACAAAGACACTTCAAAGAAAGAAAACTACAGACCAATATCTCTAATGAACCTAGATGCAAAAATCCTCAATAAAATTCTGGCCACTCGGATACAAAAACATATCAAAAAAATTGTGCACCATGATCAAGTAGGATTCATCCCTGGGATGCAAGGCTGGTTCAATATACGGAAATCAATAAATGTTATTCACCACATCAATAGACTTAAAAATAAGAACCATATGATCATCTCGATAGATGCGGAAAAAGCATTTGACAAAGTACAGCATCCCTTTATGTTCAAAACTCTAGAACAACTAGGGATAACAGGAACATACCTCAATATTGTAAAAGCAATCTATGCTAAGCCTCAGGCTAGCATCATTCTGAATGGAGAAAAATTGAAGGCATTCCCTCTAAAATCTGGAACAAGACAGGGATGCCCTCTCTCACCACTTCTGTTCAACATAGTTCTCGAAACACTGGCCAGAGCAATTAGACAGATGAAAGAAATTAAAGGCATCAAAATAGGAAAAGAAGAACTTAAATTATCACTATTTGCAGATGACATGATTCTATACCTAGCAGACCCAAAAGGGTCTACAAAGAAACTATTAGAGCTAATAAATGAATTCAGCAAAGTGGCAGGATATAAAATCAACACGCATAAATCAAAGGCATTCCTGTATATCAGCGACAAATCCTCTGAAATGGAAATGAGGACAACCACTCCATTCACAATATCTTCAAAAAAAATAAAATACTTGGGAATCAACCTAACAAAAGAGGTGAAAGACTTATACAATGAAAACTACAGAACCCTAAAGAGAGAAATAGAAGAAGATCTTAGAAGATGGAAAAATATACCCTGTTCATGGATAGGCAGAACTAACATCATCAAAATGGCGATATTACCAAAAGTTCTCTATAGGTTTAATGCAATGCCAATCAAAATCCCAATGGCATTTCTTGTAGAAATAGAGAAAGCAATCATGAAATTCATATGGAAAAATAAAAGACCCAGAATAGCAAAAACAATGCTAAGCAGGAAGTGTGAATCAGGCGGTATAGCGATACCAGACTTCAAACTATACTACAGAGCAATAGTAACAAAAACAGCATGGTACTGGTACCAAAACAGGCGGGTGGACCAATGGTACAGAATAGAGGACACAGAAACCAATCCACAAAACTACAACTACCTTATATTTGATAAAGGGGCTAAAAGCATGCAATGGAGGAAGGATAGCATCTTCAACAAATGGTGCTGGGAAAACTGGAAATCCATATGCAACAAAATGAAACTGAATCCCTTTCTCTCGCCATGCACAAAAGTGAATTCAAAATGGATCAAGGAGCTTGATATCAAATCAGAGACACGCCGTCTGATAGAAGAAAAAGTCGGCTACGATCTACATACTGTGGGGTCGGGCTCCAAATTCCTCAATAGGACACCTATAGCACAAAAGTTAATAACTAGAATCAACAAATGGGACTTACTCAAACTAAAAAGTTTTTTCTCAGCAAAAGATACAATAAGAGAGGTAAATAGAGAGCCTACATCCTGGGAACAAATCTTTACTCCTCACACTTCAGATAGAGCCCTAATATCCAGAGTATACAAAGAACTCAAAAAATTAGACAATAAGAGAACAAACAACCCAATCAACAAATGGGCCAAGGACCTGAACAGACACTTCTCAGAGGAGGACATACAATCAATCAACAAATACATGAAAAAATGCTCACCATCTCTAGCAGTCAGAGAAATGCAAATCAAAACCACCCTAAGATACCATCTCACTCCAGTTAGATTGGCAGCCATTATGAAGTCAAACAACAACAAGTGCTGGCGAGGATGTGGGGAAAAGGGTACACTTGTACATTGCTGGTGGGACTGCAAA